CACCAGGTGGTGGGTGCGGGTGTCCCTTGGGAGGGCATGGGCCGTGGGACGGAGCCGCTTCCTCCTGTGCCAGCGGGCAGCACGACTCGGTGCCCCGCCACCACGGCCCCCCGGGCCAGGGGCTGGCAGGGCTCCCCGGAGCCCCCTGTCCCCGTGGCTCTGGGGGCCAATTGGGCTGATTCCCCCAACTGGGGACTGGTGCAGGGGGGGCTTCAGAGACCCTTCCCCAGGCGGGGTCGGGGACACGGCCCCCACGGGTGTCCTCACCGATGCACAGCTCTTCTCCCGGGGGTTTCACAACCGCGTCCCGCCGGCTGCAGCAGGGGAGGGACAGGGCAGAGTCTGGCCGACCCGCGCCGGCCCCTGCCATGACCTGGCACGTCTTCGGAATGGGTAAAGCAGGTGCAGCGGTGGGCAGAGGATGACCGAGCCATGAGCTCCCCATCCCCGGCCAGACCCCGGCGCTGCTGGCCAAGGTGCAGAGGGAGCTCGGCTCTGCCTCAGTTTCCCTGGTGTGTGAGTGGTGGCACCCAGAACTGTGTGGCCCTGGGCACCCCAACCAGAGTCAAACTGCATCCACTTGCGCTGGGCCAGCGGTGGCCGAGGAGGCTCCCGGGCTGGGCAGGCAGCCAGGAGTGGTGGCCCTGGGGCGAGACTGGCACCATGGCGGGGCACCCGTGGGTGCTGGGGAGGAGCAGGAGGGCAGGGCAAGGATACAGGGTGGGTGCTGGCTCTGCTGTTGCTCTGAGTCCAGCCGGGAAAGGGCCCTGCGCACCGGGGTCAAGTCTCCCGCAGTGGCCCAGGGCCACTGTTACCCCTGCTCCATCCCCAAGCCAGCACGAAGCCACCCGAGACCACCAGCTCTCCGAGACCTGGGAGACCTCCCAGCGCTGGGTGCCTTTTGGGAACGCACTGCAATGCTGGGGGCTCCGCTTGGGACCCCCGCGTAGCCGATGAATCCGGGTACAGTCATGGCCCTGGGGACCACCAGCCCCTCACCGCAGCATGTGGGGACCCCGCCAGCCCCACGGCCCAGCCGAGCCTGGCCAACGTGGTGCCCCAGCAAGCTGGTGGTGCAGAGCTGGGCACTGAGATCCCCTCCAAGGTTACGAGCACCCTCACAGAGATGGGTGGTGGGGAGGAGGTGGCCAGGCAGGGGTCCAGGGGGGCCCAGAGCCACCCAGGCCGGCCAGGCTCCCTCCCGGCGCTGCTGAGTCGGAGGAAACAGAGGAGCCGGGTGCTGGGGAACCAGCCTGACCGGCTCCCCGGCTGTCAGCACCTGAGGAATGCCAAACCTCCACTGCGCCAGGGCTGGGTGCTCAGGGCTGGGTGCTCTGTGAGGGCTGGGTGCTCGCCGGGTGACTCTGCCGGTCCCCCCAGCTGCGGCGTGCAGGGAGCAGCACTCCCAGCCCCGTTCGGCACGGCACGGCACGGCACGGCACGGCACGGCACGGCACGGCACGGCACGGCACGGCACGGCACGGCACGGCACGGCACGGCACGGCACGGCACG